TAGTCTAGGTACTTTTGGAGAAACAAATCCACAGCGACTCATGTATAAGAGAGAGTTTTATGTAAAGGAAACGTGCATCATGAAAACATCCCAACCCAATGCTGCCCAAGCCCACAATTCCAACATTAACCCATTAACCCAACACCAGTCCACGGGCTGACCATGGTCCTCCTGACTCTGTTCTTCCTCTACCGGTACCGGGACAGCATGAAAGTGTTCCTGAAGCAAGGCGAGTGTGCCAGCGTGCACCCAAAGGCCAGCTCGGGCCTGAGACCCGTCCGCTCAATGGTGTCGGCCCTCCCAGCACCCCACTGGACCACCACCGAGGCTACCAGGCCCTGTCCAACGTCCCCCTGCAGCCCCCGGGTCTTCACTGAGTCAGAGAAGAGGCCACTCAGCATCCAGGACAGCGTTGTGGAGGTGTCCCCCGTATGCCCGCGGCCCTGGGTGCGCCTGGGCTCCGAGCTCCGGGATTCTGTGGTGTGAGCATGGACTTCAGAGGAGGGCCCCAGGGGCTCCATGGTTTCAGCGTGGAAACCAGGTACCAGCTCTCTGACGATCAAATCGTCAACCACTTCCCCAACCACTATGAGCCGACTCAGAAGGACCTGATGGTGAAGAACATCAAGGGGTACCGGAAGGAGCTGGAGAAGGAGGGCAGCCCCCTGGCTGAGAAAGACGAGAACGGGAAATACCTCTACTTGGACTTAGTTCCCATCCCCTTCATGTTGCCGGCTGACTACAACCTGTTCGTGGAGGAGTTCCGGAAGAGCCCGTGCAGCACCTGGATCATGAAGCCCTGCGGCAAAGCCCAGGACAAGGGCATCTTCCTTATAAACAAGCTCTCACAGATCAAGAAGTGGTCCCGGGACAGCAAGACCTCCTCGTTCGTGTCTCAGTCCACCAAGGAGGCCCACGTGATCTCGCTGTACATCAACAACTCGCTCCTCATCGGAGGGCGCAAGTTCGACCTGCATCTGTACGTGCTGGTGTCCCCGTGCCGCCCGCTGCACTGCTACATGTACAAACTTGGGTCTTGACGGTTCTGCACCGTCAAGTACACGCCGAGCACCAGCAAGCTGGACAACATGTTCGTGCACCTCACCAACGTGGCCATCCAGAAGCACGGGGACGACTACAACCACATCCATGGGGGCAAGGGGACAGTGAGCAACCTGCACCTCTACCTGGAGAGCACTCGGGGCAGGGAGGTCACCAGCAAGCTCTTCGACGAAATCCACTGGGTCATCGTGCAGTCCCTGAAGGCCGTGGCGCCGGTGATGAACAGTGACAAGTACTGCTTCGAGTGCTATGGCTACGACATCATCATGGATGACAAGCTGAAGCCCTGGCTGATTGAGGTCAACGCGTTACCATCCCTCACCTCCAGCACCGCCAACGACCGCATCCTGAAGTACAACCTGATCAACGACAGGGTTGAGCTGAGATAAGTGAAAATGTTTGAGGCCCCATTTAGTAGACAAGGCTAAGCACCAAAAGGATATTTTCTTCCTTTATATTCATGAATCTCCGGGAGATAAGATTGGAGCTAAGATATGAGAAACCGCTTGAAACACCATTGAACTGATGTAAAAGCAATTCCTCGTGGAAAGTTGTGGTGAAACACCTGATCTTTCCTGACGTCGAGTTTCATTCACGTGGCAATGTTGGTATAGAAATGTGAAGCTCAAGGAATAAAAAATAGCTAAAAATATGACTGATGGGAGGTTTGCTGAGCTACGTGACTATGATAGTCTGAGAAATTTGGAGAAACAAATCCACAGAAAATCGTGTATAAAAGAGTGTTTTATATGAACGTAAAATGCACATCAAGAAAGCATCATACCCATAGCTGCCCATGAACACAAATGCAAAATTATGCCATATGTGCGCCAACGATCCACAAGGTCTTCCACCATCTCACAAAACAGACGGAATGAGGCCGACTACAAAGGGAAAGCCACGTCAGTGAAAGGGCAATCATCTCAGGATTGGCGGGGGTCTCCAAATGGCTGTCCCACACCCAAGGCTATATCATGGTAGGTCCATATGGCTTCTGCTCAGAGATGTCTTGCAGGAAGTGAGCCTTGGAAGCAAAAGCAGTAAACTGGCTAAGGCATCTTCCCCCTGGACTGATGTTCATAAAGGAAAAGACCCGAGAAATTGATAAGCGAGGCTGACCAAGCCATGTATCCCTCCGCCCTTCAATTAACCCCAAATTTGTTTATCAGTCAGTTTTCAATGCAAAGCTTTCAATCTCAGTGAGCAAACCTTGTAAAACACAGGAAGATACATAATGTAATGATGACGCAAGGGAACGTGCCGGATACAGGATAATCATTAGGATATGGGACATCTTAATGCATGTAGACCATGGAAATAGTGAATGCTGGGCCACTCTTGAAATGCCAAAGTTACTCTGGGTGAGGCAATGCAGAAGGGGAGTCCAGGAAATGCAGGATTCACTGTTTATCTTCACATCCAAGCAAGTCCAGGTGGTAGGGATTGAGCTGACATAAGTGAAACTGTTTGAGGCCCCATTTAGTAGACCAAGCTAAGCACCAGAAGGATACTGTCTTCCTTTATATTCATGAATCTCTTGGAGATAAGATTGGAGCTAAGATATGAGAAACTACTTGAAACAAAATTGAAGAGATATAAAAGCAATTGCTCATGACTTGCGTGGTGACTCATGGCAAATACCCATTTCCCCAGCCTGCCAGGATGTCTGTTTCCTGGCCTACCGGTAGACCCAGGGCAGAGCCTCACACTCCCAAACTACCAGGTAGTTGCTTGCCACGCTGGCGGGGAGATGCCATAAAAAGCCTCCCTTCCCCACAATGACCGGAAATCCCATGCATGGCTAAAAGGAAGACACAGGGTGAAGCCTCCTTTCCCCAGCTTACTGTAAAATTGTTTCTTGCCTTGAAGGCTGACGAAGCCATGTATCCCTCCGCTGCCCTTCAATGAACCCCACCTGTGTTTACTGGCCAATTAGGGATGAAAAGCTAACAACCTCAGTGAGCAAACGTTGTTGTCAAGCTCAGGAAGTTACATAAAGCTCCATTCTTCATTATAATTAGGACCCACAGGAACTGCAGGATTAAAGGCTGCCTATATTCTAATGATTATTGGAAATTGTAATTCTTGTTGACCACAGTAATATTCATTCCTGTGAGGACTCTTGAAATGACAAACATAACCGCAGGTGAGGAAAATCAGAAGGGGAGCCCTGGAAATGCAGGATACACGGTTTTTCTTCCCAGCAAAGCAAGTCCACGAGGTAAGGGTTGAGCTGAGATAAGTGAAATTGTTTGAGACCCCATTTAGTAGAGCAGGCTAAGCATTAGAAGGATAATTTCTTCAATAATTTCCTGGAAATAAGCTTGTAGCTAAGATATGAGAAAGTGTGTGAAGCACTATAGAACTGATGTAAAAGCAATTCCAGGTGGAAAGTTGTGGTGAAACACCTGACCTTTCCTGACATAGTTTCAAAGGAAGTCAAGCATGTGGCAATATTGTGGGTATAGAATAATGTGATACTCAAGGAAGTAAAAATGCTTAAAGATATGACTGAAGGGAGGTTCGCACAGCTACGTGACTGTGATAGTGTGGGAAATTTGGAAAACCGAATTCACAGAAACTCGTGGATAAAGAGTGTTTTATATAAACGAAAAGTGTCTCTCAAGAAAGCATCATACCCATAGCTACCCAAAATCAAAGTCCAACATTATCGCCCTGGACTGACCTTTAGAATGCAAAAGACATGCCAGGAGACGCCGCGCTTCCTCAGCCTGGTCTGAAATCCCTTGGATGGCTTAAGGAACGACTCCAGGGAAAGCCTCGCTTCCCCAGGCTGGGAGGAAGTCCATTTCCTTGCACTGCTGGAGAGCCCAGGTGACACCTCAGTTCCCCAGATAATCCAGAACTCTGTTGCATGGCCTTTGGAGAGGCGCCAGGCAAATCATCACTTCCCCAGTCTTCCCTGAAATTCAATGCCTGGCTTCCTGTGTGACGCTGGGCAAGCCGCCCTTCCCAGTGTGAATGGGAGACCATTCAGTGGCCTGAATGGAGACCTAAAATTATTCTCACTTCCACAGCGTGCCGCGAAGTCCATTGGCTGGCCTTTGCAAGACACAGGGCAAAACCTAGCTTTCCAGCCTGACAGGAAGTCCTTCGCTGGCTTCAAGGGAGACTCCAAGGGAAGCGTAATTTCCACAGCCTGACCAGAAGTGCCTTGGCTGGCGTGCAGGGAAAGGCCTGGCAGACCCTAGCCTTACCAGGACTCCAGGAAGTTCATTTCCTGGCTTGCGGAGTAAAACATGGCGAACACCCATTTCCCCAGCCTGCCAGGAAGTCTTTTGCCTGCCCTACTGGTAAACACCGGGCAGAGCCTGACACTCCCAACCTGCCAAGTATTTGCTTGTCATGCTGGAAGGGAGACACCATGCAAAGCCTGGCTTCCCACAATGCCTGGAAGTCCCATGCATGGCTAAAAGGAAGACACCGGGTAAATCCTCTCTTCCCCCACTTCTTGGAAGTCTTTTTCCTGGCTTGCAGGTGGACCAAGCCATTTATCACTACACCGCCCTTCAATTAACCCCACCTATGTTTATCAGCCAATTAGGAATGATAAGCTAACAACCTCAGTGAGCAAACCTTGTTGTGAAATACAGGAAGTTACATAATGCTCCATTCTTTTGTAATTAGAATCCACAGGAACTGCAGGATTAATGGCTGCCCATATCCTAATGATTATGGGAAATTGTGATGCTTGTTGACCACAGTAATATTCAGTCCTGTGAGGACTTTTGAAATGACAAATATAACCGCAGGTGAGGTAAATCAGGATGGCAGCGCATGAAATGCAGGATTCATGGTTTTCCTTCTAAGCCAAGCATGTCCAGGAGGCAAGAATTGAGCTGAGATAGTGAAATTGTTAGTGGCCCCATTTAGTAGAGCAGGCTAAGCACCAGAAGGAAAATTTCTTCAAGAATCTCCTGGAGATAAGTTTGTAGCTAAGATAAGAGAAAACACTTGAAGCATCATTGAACTGATGTAAAAGCATTTCTGGTGGAAAGTTGTCGTGAAACACCTGGCCTTTCCTGACATAAAGTTTCAACGGAAGTCAAGCATTCTCATGTGGCAATATTGTAGTTATAGAAAAATGTGATTCTCCAGGAAGTAAAAATGGCTAAAGATATGACTAAAGGGAGTTCGGCACAACTCCATGACTGTGATGGTCTGGGAAATTTGTAGAACCAAATTCACAGAAATTCGTGGAAAAAGGGTGTTTTATATAAATGAAAATTGCCTCTCAAGAAAGTATCCTACCCATAGGTACTCAAAATCAAAAGTCCAACATTATCCCCCTGGAATGACCTTCAGGAATCAAAAGACCGGATGCCAGGCAAAGCGGCGCTTCCTCATCCTGGTTTCCAGTCCCTCGCATGGCTTAAGGAAAGACTCTGGGAAAGCCTCCCTTCCCCAGGCTCGCCGGAAGTCCATTTCCTTGCATTTGTGGAGACCCCAGGGGAAGCCAAGCTTCCCCAGACTACCTAGAACTCTGTTACCTGGCCTTTGTGGAATGCAGGCAAATCCTGACTTCCCCAGCCTTCCCGGAACTTCAATGCCTGGATTCCTCGGAGACACTGGGCCAAGCCATGCTACCCAGTCTGAGCGGGAGGCCCTTCTGTGGCCTGAATGTAGACGCAAAATTATTCTCACTTTGATAACGGGCTGCGAAGTCCATTGGCTGGCCTCTGAAAGACGCAGGGCAAAACTTGGCTTTCCAGCATGACAGGAAGCCCTTTCCCTGACTTCTAGGGAGACGCCGAGTGAAGCGTAATTGCCTCAGCCTGACTCGAAGTCCCTTGGTTGGCCTGCAGGGAAACGCCTGGCAGAGCCTACCTTCCCAGCAGTCCGGGAAGTTCATTTCCTGACTTGCGTGGTGAAACATGGCGAAGACCCATTTCCCCCACCTGCCAGGAAGCCTGTTACCTGCCCTACCGGTAGGCACAGCACAGGACAGAGCCTCACTCTCCCAGTCTACCAGTAGTTGCTTGCCACTCTGGCGGGAAATGCCATGCAAAACCTTGCTTTCCCACAATGCCCGGTAGTCCCATGCATGGCTACAAGGGAGACACCTAGAGAAACCTCCCTTCACCAACTTCTCTGAAGTCAGTTTCCTGGCTTGCTGTCTGACCAAGCCATGTATCCCTCCATCACCCTTCAGTTAACCCCACCTGTGTTTACCGGCCAATTAGGGATGATAAGCTAAAAATCCCAGTGAGGAAACCTTGTTGTGAATCACAGGAAGTTACATAAAGCTCTATTCTTTATTGTAATTAGTGTCAGAACCTGATGATGAGTCGAACGGTCCTGAAAGGGGGAGTGAGGCTTAAGGAAAAAAAGAGAGACCGAAAGTATTGGGAGGGCAACAGTGAATACT